GAGCCGATGATCGTAGTGTCAAAATTTGGGATTATCAGGTGAGCATATTTTTGGGTTCGTTTTTAATTTCAAGTATTGGAATTGCTTGGTTTGACTAACTTTCGTTTTTGTTGCTACGGCAGACCAAATCCATTGTGCACTCATTGGAGGGACACACCCACAATGTCTGTGCCGTCATGTTTCATCCCAAGCTTCCCATTATTGCCAGTGCTAGTGAGGATGGAACCATTCGTATCTGGCAAAGTACGACCTACCGTGCCGAAACCACCCTCAACTACGGAATGGAACGTGCTTGGGCTCTCGCAGCCAGTCCAGACTCCAACAAATTGGCCATTGGATTCGACGAAGGTTGTGTCTGCATTGAACTCGGTAGTGATGATCCAGTCGCCAGTATGGATACCACTGGTAAGGTTGTGTGGGCCATGAACAATGAAATCAAGACTGCCTCGGTTCGTGGTGTCGTAGGAAGTGGTGACGACGCCTTGCCCGACGGTGAACGCCTTCCGGTTGTCCCTCGTGACTTGGGAGCATGTGACCTCTACCCCCAAATGTTGAAACACAATTGCAATGGTCGTTTTGTCGCTGTTTGCGGTGACGGTGAATTCATCATTTACACTGCCCAGGCACTTCGTAACAAGGCATTCGGTCAGGCATTGGATTTTGTCTGGAGTGGCAGCGGAACTGGCGACTATGCTATTCGTGAATCTGTCAACCGCATCAAGGTTTTCAAGAATTTTAATGAATCCAAGGTGATTGTCCCTGCCACTGCTTCTGCCGAAGGGTTGTTTGGTGGTCAAATGATCGGAGTCAAGGGTGGAGATGGCGCTGTTCTGTTCTACGACTGGGAGAGCGGAGAGTTTGTTCGCAAGATTGACGTTACTCCCAAAGCTGTCTACTGGAGTGACGCCGGCAACATGGTCTTGTTGGCTTGTGAAGAATCTGCCTATGTCTTGTCTCACAATGCCACCGTGACGGCTCAAGCCATTGCCATGGGGCAAGTGTCACCCGAGGACGGAATCGATGGAAGTTTCGATTTGCTTTATGAGATCAGTGACACCATTACCAGCGGAAAGTGGGTTGGTGATTGTTTCCTCTATGTCAACAATGTTGGACGTCTGAAGTACAGCGTTGGTGGGCAAATTGAAACTCTTGTCCACTTGGATACCAATTCTGGTGGAGCTACGCAGCACACTGTTCTGGGTTACTTGGCCAAGGAAGACCGAGTCTATTTGATCGACAAATCGCTCAACATTGTTTCCTACTGTGTCATGTTGGCTGTGTTGCAGTACCAGACTGCCGTGATGCGTGGGGATTTCGATGCTGCCAACGAACTACTTCCCAACATCCCCGAGTCGGAGTACACCAAGGTTGCCAGATTCTTGGAGTCCCAGGGATTCAAAGAGGAAGCCTTGGAGGTCACTACAGATCCCGACCATAAGTTTGATTTGTCGCTCGAGTTGGGAAAAACGGACCAGGCTCATGCAATCCTTTTGGAGACTCCTGAGGAAGACAAGGATTCGACTGACACAGAAACAAAATGGAAGCGTCTCAGTGATGCCGCTCTGAAGGATACCAACCTGGATCTTTGTGAAGCTGCTAGCATTGCTTCCAATGACTTTTCGGATCTGTTACTTCTCTACTCGGCAACTGGAAATGTGTCTGGTATGGCGAAGCTGGCCAAACTTGCTGCTGACAATGGAAGGACCAATGTTGCCTTTGTGGCTTATTTGTTGACCAGCAATGTTGAAGCCTGCGCTGATCTTCTCATTGCCACTCACCGCCTACCCGAAGCGGCCTTCTTTGCGCGCACCTACTTGCCATCTCGAATGGACGAAGTTGTGGCATTGTGGAAGACTGATCTTGCTTCGGTGAGTGAGACAGCAGCAAAGGCTCTGGCCAGTCCCTCGGAGAATGCCGATTTCTTTCCCGACTTGAGCATTGCTTTGCAAGTGGAACAGATGTTTTTGGCCCAAAGGGCGGGAACCAAGGCTACTGGCATTCCCGCAGCAGACTATATGACTGCCAAGGACGATTTGGATCTGAATTTGATTGAGCTGATTAAGCAACGTGATGCACCACAACCTACTCCTGAAGAGATTGCTGCAGCTGAGGCAGCCGCTGCCCATGCACAAGCGGAAGCGCAGGCAGCCGCCGAGGGTGCAGCTGCGGAACAAGCCGCAGCCGCGGAACAGGCCAAAATGGAAGCTGAGGCTGCTGCAGCTGCTCAGGCGGAAGCAGAAGCCAAAGCGGCGGCAGAGGCTGCTGCAGCTCAAAAGATGGAAGATAGTGGAAACGATTTTGGTGATGATTGGTAGCTGGCGTGTTAGGACGAAGTCCTACCAACGGACCATATAACTCAATATTAGAATGCGAATTGCATTAGAAACCTTGTGATAGAAATGTGTCAATTCGGACGATTCAATTCTGTTGGGAGCAATACATCTGTGAGATCTTTGTTCGTGATTCCGTCATGCTCCTCCAATCTGAGATACGAGGATGGGACGGATTCTTCTACTAAGGGTATCGCCACCTCCAGATTTTTTCACCCAGAGCAAATGAATTTCCTCTTTTGATGTCTTTTCTTCTTCCTCCGAACTTGTAGCTCCTTCGTCAGTTGCGTAGATTTCGGTTTCAGTCATGTCAAGGCACTTCCCCCGGTACCATTCCTTGACTTTGTCAACCAGACGGTCAATGTCCTCTTGCCGGAATTCAAGACCCAGCATGTATGTGCTGGTTCCTTTGTAATCTCCTGGCGATAGATTCGAAATATCTTGACCCCCAGGTCGTTTGCCATGCGAGTTTCAATCTCCTGACCCTTCCCCAAACACCGTTCGATCCGTGTGCGTGCATGACGCTTGACTTTCTTCGTTTGATTTCACGAAATTCCACTACCTGCACCATGAATCCATTGGAGTCTTTGGCGTGTTGCAGCTGGTAGCGAAAAGAATAACGCCAACAGGATCCCCGCTTTGGTTTGCCTGTCTTCAGTGTAGGATCCTCCTTCAGGCAGGTGTCACAAGTCCCTCGACAAGGCCAATTCAAGCTCGTCCACTTTGGATCGCAGGTGTCTTTCTCAAAAGCGTTCGGGGAATAGACAACAAAGTTGTTGTCCTTTCTTGATTCTCCGCTGATGTAGGGGTGATGCTTCAGGAGGACAGCAAAGTTGGTTGCCGTGCCAGTACAGTTTTCACTCAAGGAGAAACGCGTGGATAGAACTATCTTGGGCGAATTGTGCTCAACAGCCTCATGATGGGTTTTTACTTCTTCATTGTTGATAGTACTTTGATCGTCCCACAGCCCGGCTGCAATTAAGCAGTCTTGATCTTGATTGAGGCCTCCCAAGGCATATTTCAGTGCTTCTGGAGTTGTAGATGCAGCCGCCATGACACACTGTCTGTCTTGCCGTAAAGCATCAGAGGCATAACGTAACACCATGCCATCTTGTTGAATGACTACCAGCATGACACGTCTCTCGTCTTTGAGACGCTCCGAAGCATGCTGAAGAATTGTGGACAAACGTCTTCTCCGCCAAGAGCCACCAAGCTGTGAGGTGGAGCGCATAAGTGGCAGCTCCCTCATGGGCTGAAATCGTCTGGTTGATAACTTCTCGATCCCCACGCATAAAGTATGAAACGTATTCCAGCGATTGCCAGTGTGTTTTAACTGCCATTAGCACCGTCTCTTTGTCCTCTTTTAGCTCTTTAGAAGCGAACTTGAGTGCCTTTGGATGGCCAGAGCTGATTGCTGCATGGACAACTTGCTTGTTGCCTCGAAGGTCTGCGGAAGCATATTCGAGGTAATCTCCAGATATGGTCACTGCCGCTAATGTAACGCTGGGATCAGCTCTTAATGAGGGAGCAATAGCATTCACATATAGGCATCCACAGTCTCCTCAATGGCGAGAATTGCAGCCTCTTTGTCGCTGATTAGGCGGGGCGGGGCATCTGAAGGAGCGACCACGGAAATGCGAGAAGGCTTTAGCTTCTCCTTGGCAGACTTGCCCGTGGAGCAGTTGATCCCCATATAAAGGTGACAAATTGAACTGAAGATAGTGTTGATAGAGCTTGGATCCAACGGGGTGTTGATAGAGCTGTTGGGTGGGGGTACAGCCGTTTCAAAGGTTGTTCTAGCTGGAGGCAAAAGCAAAGGAAAGATAATTTCCCTACTCTAAACCCCTTATTCACAAGGAAAGCGAACTCCTGTGAAATCTAAAAAGGAGGGTTTTTCGGCTTGTGCATCTCTGATGGCTTCTTCGAGGTAGCGCACTCGTATGACAGGGGGTAGAGAGCACTACATACAGCCTGTGCATGTGAACAGGGAGGATGCCCGCAGATTGAGAGCAAGGCCAGCCATTTTTTTGGCCTGAATTCAAAAACGTCCAATTTCCTGTGCAATCGAACAGGATAGCGACGCCTGTTCAATTGCACAGGACGTCCATTTCCTGTGCAATTGAACAGGCGTCGCTATCCTGTTCGATTGCACAGGAAATGGACGGCCTGCCTGTTCATATGTACAGGAGGCTGTACATACATATCAGGGTATGGTACTCACACTGTTTTAGCATGTGAGTACGGGTACTGAGTAGTACTAAGAATCCTGGAAGTGAGTGAGTACAGGTACTAGGTAGTACTCAGAATTTCTGAGGTCAAGTGGGTATAGGTACTATGTGAGTCCAGGTATTTTTGGGGTACTACGGTATACTCACTGAGTACTTATATACCAATTATTTAGAGAATTTATCTTTGCAATTGGGCCCAAAGTGAGAAAATAATGATCTTTTTGCTGTTTCGCGGTGAGAAAGTACCCACCGAGTACTCACAAAGTACCCATTCAGTACTCATGGTACTCGGTGAGTACTGATCGAAAGTACTCATCGAGTACCCACCGAAGACTCACAAAGTACTCGGAATCTAGAGGTATGTGAGTACAGGTACTGAGTACTTTTCCAAGCGGGACCGAAACCAAGTGGAGCCCCGCCACTGGATCTGTCACTACAAATACAGATTACTAACCAAACCAACAAAAGCAAAAACTACTATCATCTCTGTGTCAAGCTCATCAAGACAAGCACTATTGTGCTTGGAAGTAAGTCAATCAGAGCTATATTCAAAAAGTTACATCCCCACAAAGATCCCTCCAAGCCAACGCGCGAATACCAGTGATTGCTATTCCAGAGAATTCCAGTCATTCCACGTATACCCTGGTACTGTTTCTACAGAGGAGTCATTATCCAAAACGCCAATCACCCATCAACAAGACCACAAACACCAACAGGAAATTCGAAGTATCGAGTTGTCTTGTTCCGCCCATCGAGACGCTGTTTGCCACTACAAGAAATAGTCCCCGATCTACCACCTGTCCATAGGAATAGAATAGGAACTGCATCTGTCAGTCGCAACGAGCATCTTCGCAGGCATTCCAAGACGAACGACCGAATCGGAAGACAAGGAATTCATTCTGTTTGCTCAGAAGAAATCGAGCTGATAATCCTTTGCTCAGCCATAGCAAATTACTTTCTGCTCAGTCCATTCTCGACAACAAGAACAACGTCCTAGTCCACTCCCACGCGAAGCCAGCCAACCATCCGAGTCGTACATCCGTACCTCTATCGGCCGATCAATCGAACTGACTGACCCCTTGATTTGCGCGAACGAGATCTTGAAGCTCTCCCTCATTGAAATTGCACTACGCTAAAAGCTAGTGTAAAGATCTTTCGAGTGTTTTGAGTTTGAGAGAATGAAAGTTATGAGAGGATTAGAAAGCTATGAAAACTAATCGACGAGAGAGATCCACAATCAAAGGATCGTAGATCTGAACTCCCGCGGGAGACTGTAGAGTGTGATAGAGTAGGTTGGGTAGCAATCCTACTCACTCCACGATCCAAAAACGGAACCGTGGAAGATTCGTCTAGCATTTATCTAGTAGCGTGAATCCTCCACGCCAGCTAAATATTTAGCGCGATGTTTCACCACGACCTAGTATGACTAGCGGCCATGAGAACCCTGTCTCAATGACTATTCACGAGACTCAGTCATGAGTCGACCTCAGACCCTATCTAGGAATCGAGTCGCGAATAACGGCTAAGAGCCGTGTATTGCATTTGCCCCCTGACAAGGGTCACGGAAGGCACGACATCAGTCGGACAAGGAGAACAATGAATTAAAGTGCGGGGCACTCTCCGGATGATTGGGGGAGGTGTAGACTTGTGCGTCGCACGATGTCAATTCTACAAGGGGATCAGGCCCTGTATGGGTGTAAATACCGTATGTTCCAAGTCTGGTAGAACTAGTGGCGCTACTTGCGGTAGTATGTCTGAGCCGTGCAGTGCCATTTTTATTGACTCGTTCTGTGTGTTAAGGACCTTGTGCGTTGGCTGACAGTATTAACGGTTCTGATACTGATGAATCATCAAAGTGTCGTTGACATGGTGTTGATGAGGGACACGTGCCGTGTTCTCCATATCGGTGTTTTTCTGGATAAAGCGTAACTCCGGCCGACGTTCCTTGATGTATTTACGGTTTGCTTTGAAACGGATGTTGTTAATCTTGTCACGGTTGACGTGCGTGAACTTGCGGCGAAATCCATGTTCATCCCGGAGAGTCTTCTCGACCTCTACGCGGGACTCAAGTTCTCTTGTCCATGACGACCGGTCATGGATCCTGGGTAACCCACTTCTGGTTCAGAACGATGTTTACTACGTCTGCTGTCTTTGAGCATCCCTTGTTAGTCTAGTTCAATGAATCTACGGAGTGTCTTCCTGTTGGTAGGAAGAGCGATAGCTGGATAGCATCTGTTTTCTTTTTAGTTAAAAGTTGGCTTCCTTCTCGAGAAGTCCAGATGTCTAGATACTCCAGTTCTTTCTATCTAGGAAGGCCTTGGTAGTGTTGATTTCAATCCCGTCTTTTTGGAGTCTTTGGGAAAGGTCATCCTACTGTTAAACGCGATCTGTGAGATCGACGTCCGTTGGAATGAGTTGATCATCAACGTATGCACGACAGTTTCTTAAAAGTCATTGCATGCGTTGTTCTTTTTCATCTTCCTATTGAAGATGTCGGAACTATTACATGGACCCATTGGCAACCTCTGGTACTCGGCCTTTCCCTTGGGAGTGCAATGGTATATGGTTGCTTCGAGTGAGGTTGCAGGCAGCCCTCGATGTGGTATTGTCGCGTGTTCAGGTCTGGACTGGTACCGCGCACTTGAATCCATCATGGTTCAAGAGCCAGTCCTGTATTTTTGGGATAGGATAAGGCTTCTGCTTGATCTTTTTGTTCGGTTCCCGGAAATCCAAGATGAATCGTGCAGATCCTTCTTT